TGCTTAATATTTTTGTAGAAACATGATACACAACTTTTCAAAAGTTTAGGAAAAGTATTTAAAAAATAAATTAATGCTATAATTAAAAATAAATAAAATAAAATAAATGAATTACAAATAAATAAAATAAAATAAATTAATACTTTTATTAATCAAGGACGCATTAAATTGATCAAAAAAGTGACAGTACAGACATTTATAATGTTACAAAATATTTTTGTTCTTTTGAGCTTTACTGCCTAAAGAATCCTGAAAAATTAAAACATATCACAGTTTCCTCAAAAATGTGAAGAAGCACAACTGTTTGCAACACTGATAATAAGAAATGAACAGCAAATTTCTTAAGCAGCAAATCAAATATTTTATAGACATATTTTATATTTATCATTGTAATTAAAAGCATATTTTCTGATTCGTTAAAGGATACTTCCACTCTACGATGTTGATGCAGGCTTCTGAGGAAGAGGAGGGATCAAAAATGAACGTGTCCCCACCATCCGCTCTCTTTGTCTGTCTGTCCCTCAGTCTATGTCTCTCACTCGCTCTGCTCTTGTTTGGTTAGTACTGCAGCTGTCTGACACTTTAAGTGTGTGTGTTCGGGGACAACAGAGCATGACATAGTCGTGGTCACAGAGACATAGATAAAGAGGCAGGACATTCACACAGTCAAGACTTTTGGAGTGTTCTCATTGGCTTGTTCTATTTGGGCTTTGTGACATCACTGAGTTGCCAAACCTATCAGCTAACAGATGAATCATTGTGATTTTGCATTATTTATGAGCAATTTGAATTATTATTACTATTATTTATACATTTGATTTATGTTTATTTGCACTGTAAAAATGATCAATACGTTATGGCAAAATATATTTTTCAGTGCTTAAAAATTTAACCAATTGCAACATTTTGGGGACTCAACTACAGATGAAATGACATGTGCAACCAATTTGATTAAACTTAAAGAATTTAAGGCAACAACTGGGTTTATGAACATTATTTAAAAAAACACACAGAAACAAGATGACAAACAACAAACTATGTATGTCTAAGTAAAAACAGCCCCATTCCAAGTATAATTTAAGATTTATTTGAATTTAAAAAAAAATTGTAAAAATCACAGTTCACATGACCACATGAGAATTCAACAGCAGAAACAGGGTGTCGTGTTGATTTCAAGGCTGTTTTGGGGCGTCGTGACCCCTGCGTCCTCATGTCCCAGTCTGAAAACACACTACGTCACGCTAGCCACCAAAACGCCACTCTTGAGCCATATTCAGCTCATTTCAGAAGATTTCATTACTTTATTGAACACCAAACTTCAATAAACTTCTGTAATTATTTGCACATTTCCTGGATAGCTCTTTTTGAATTACAAATTGTGCTTTTGCATTATTGAAACATACACTCTAAAAAATGCTGGGTTAAATACAACCCAGTCGCTGGGTAAAATATGGACAAGCCCAGCGAATGGGTTGTTTTGACCCAGCGGTTGGGTTACTGCCCAGAAGGCTGGGTTAAACATTTAACACAACTGTTGGTTGAAAACAACCCAGTCGCTGGGTATATCCATATTTTACCCAGCAACTGGGTTGTATTTAACCCAGCATTTATTAGAGTGTACGCTATTATCTGAGAACCGCTCAGGGTTTGAGCATTGTTTTGGAGTAGCGAGATAAAAGTCGTTTGAACAATGTTTTCTGTACGTCTTTAACTCCCGACAGACTCCTCAGAAGATGATTCAGAAACGGAAAGCGGCGACGCTCCTCCGTTCTGTTCCGCCCTGCCCGCGTTCTCCACCAGATCCTGCAGGTACTTGATGTAGCGTATGGCCGCGCGCAGCGTCTCCACTTTGCTCAGCCGTTTGTCCGTGGTCCCGTTAGGCAGGTGGTCGCGTAGTTTGGCGTATCCCTGGTTCACGCATTTCACGCGCTGGCGTTCCCGCTCGTTGCGTTTCTGGATGAAGGCGGGCTCAAAGGGACATTCATAGACGCCGAAGCTGCCGTGGAACGGCGGCAGGTACGAAAGCAGCGATGCACCGCCGCAGTAGGATCTATCATAGACTCGCTGATCAACGTGGGTCGGGTATAAGAACAGTGGCAACGCGTGATTGCCATGTACGTCATTCCCTCTGTAACCACCAGGGGGCGCACAATACCTGCTGCTCCTGGCCAAATGGCAATGAGAGTCCTGGAGGGACGCGTCCATGTTTAGATGAGGCACGCGAATCTGGGCTTCTATTGGAGTTGGTTCTGTTTGTTCATTCGTAGACAAAAGCCACGCCCAAGGAAGTGTCTCTAAGACCGGCGGATTAACGTGTGTTTCCTGAGGTGAGGAAGCATCGTCTTCTTCCCCGTTTAAATCCCAGAAAACGGCTTCTGCTGCTCTTTGAAAGCCCTGTGAGGGATTTCGTGAGAGACAGACGAGAGTTTAGACCAGAAGACTTCAAACACACTCCAGATTAACATAATAACAGTTTAGTCTGAGGTTCAAATACGTGGGATAAACCCGCGGACGGTCCTTGCAATTAACACGGATTTGACATAAAACACAGACGAAAAGACCCAAAACATAGTCTGTGAATGCAAATGCCTGTTGCATTTCACTCAGTTAAAATAACGATATGTTAGCCAAATAATAACGCATCTAATTTATTTACAGAAATCTGAAGTTAATAGAGGTTTGATACACCCACAGGTAAAGTATGTACTACGACTGCATGCTTGCATTAGTGTGTCAGATAAAAGCGTGCGGCAGTGTGTCAGTAATCCGTCTCTAATTCACAACATTGTGTACAACACAAGAGTTACAGGAGGAAAGGAGAAGGTGCTCTACAACTGAGACAAAGAATCAGGTCTCTGAAAGAAAAATAAACGACTGATCTAATCCCTCAATGTGTTTCCAATTTAAAGACATCTCTGCGCTTGTCCGTATTGGAGCTTGAGGCGAAGCATTAAATGATGTGTAATCGGTCTCTCAGTGGAAATCCCCTCAGCTGTGAAGTGGTGTCAAATTGGACGTATTAACGAGAAAAAATGGAAGCAGTGGAGATAATATGAATGAAAGCATGTTGAAGACTACAAAGAAAAACAATCCTGGTGCTCTTCATTATCAAATTAGCTGATGCAACTTTTGCAGAAAACATTCAAACAAAGATATTCAATAATTCGGAATTTGCAGCACCAGTTAAAACATAATATTCTTTATTATTCAGACATTGATAAATATCAAATAACGCAAATATAAATATTTAAAGGTAACGACTTAATAAATTATTTTTAAATAATTATTCAGTTATTGTAAAATAAAATATAGGCAGTTAAATGCAACTGCAAATGAAATGCAAATTTTTCTTAAAATAAAAAAAAATATTAAAATTTAATATAAACACAAAAACATATACATATATTTTCTATGTATAATATTTAATTTTTGTGCTCAACTTTTTATTCGATTTTAAAATCTACACATAATTTTTGTTATATGCAAAGCAGTGTACACACATTTATGCACACAATAAAAAAAAATATTAAATTTGTATAAAATAAATAATTAAATAAGCACAAAAGCATAGTGTGCAATATATTTTATATATAGTTTTATTATATTTTATATTATTATATTTACATACTGATCACTTAAATCGAAATATAATGCAGTATTAAAGTAGTTTAGATATTTAGATGCAGAAGCATCTTGTTTTGCACAAACATCTGTTAAATGTTTCATACAGATTCATTCTTAAAAGACGGCTGAATTGATCTGTCATTGTTAAAGTTGAAACCTGATCAGCATAAACTAGTTTTAATTTATTGCAGGCACAATGAAACAAAAGCAGCTGGTGTTGAGGAGACTGGACGTGTCTTACCTGAGAGGAAGAGGAGCCGGTTCTCCTGTCTGTGTATCTCCACACACACCTGAGTGATGTTACAGGTGAGCTCTCGGCGCTTTACCTGCGTCCCGCCCCTCTGTGTGTGTGAGTGTGTGTGTGTGAGTGTGTGTGTGTGTGTGTGAGTGAGTGAGTGTGTGTGAGTGAGAGTCTGTGTGTGTGTGTGTGTGTGTGTGTGAGTGTGTTTACACTCTGGCATGATGAGCCTCAGGAAGTCGGCAGAGATGGATTTTTCTTTTGTGTTGGAGTCTGAAATTACAGCGGGGTGCAGAAAGCTGCAAACGGCTGTTTACTGATCTCAGATCTGTCATCCAGACACTGAAACACACACACACTCATCCTGGATGCTGACTGGAGCTTCACTTCATAGTGACGGTCATATTTACAGATGATGATGATGATGATGAAGGTTTCATATCCTCCGTGTCTTTTGTGATCGCTGTGCTTCCTCTTCCTCTGCGTGCTGAAGATATGCAGTCAGATTAGCAGCTGCTCAAAACATTAATTTGACATAATAACCAAGTTTAATCACATGCTTGCATATCTATCTATCTATCTATCTATCTATCTATCTATCTGTCTATCTATATGTCTATCTATCTGTCTATCTATCATCTATCTATCTATCTATCTATCTATCATCTATCTATTTATCT